CCCTGGCCCCCCTGCTCTATGGCGGAGTCGCCGCCAGCGCCGCTGCCGCCCGCCGCGCTCTCCCCCTCCTCCTGCTCCGGGCAGCAGCGGCCTCCCCCCGGGTGCGCGCGCATCCAGCCCCCTCCCCAGCCGGCTCTGCGCTTCTTCCGTAACCGAGCCCTTGGAATCCCGGAGACCCGCCCCGCCCGCAGAGCGGCGCGCGGGGGACGCGCGCAAGCATCATAGAGCGGGCGCGCACAGAGCGGCCCTCCCGCCCGGGGCGTGGCCCCGGCCGCGCCTCTTAGGTCCTCCAAGCTTGAGGCACGGCCATATTGTCTCCGCCTCCCCTGGGCCACGCCCCCTTGCCCACCTGCTCCGCCCCCCGCCGCGCCCTTCCGGCCCAACCCCCACTGGGCACGCAGAGCGTAGAAGGCTGGAGGGGTGGAATCCTACTGACCGGTGTCAAGCGTGGGCCGGCTACGTTGTTACCAGTAGGGTTAACTGTAACCAGTGGATGAGGTTACCTATGTTTGCTTCTCAAAGAACAAACAAAATATCTCATTTTGTATTTTTCAAACTCAGCTGTTCTCTGAATGCGATAGCAGTTAGCCTCCTGTCCACCTTGGTTTCCCAGGGACTTCAGATTGGAAGAATGAAAACAGTAACTCCCTTGAAATTGTTGTCAGTGTCCTCCAGAGCTTGGAGTCAGGGCCACTGACTAAATTCTCTTAGGACTTTTTAAGATTATAGGAAGGGGAATATGTAATTGTAAGGGTTTGGCTTCTAGAGAGGGCTAAAATCCCTGAATTCATCTGGAATTAACCTCATTTCAAGGGATCTTCTTTCTTTTGATGTAAACCTCCTGGTGTCACATAAAAACATCAGTGGCCTTTGACCTGGTAAATAAGTGTTTATGTAGAAAGTCCATCTGGGTGTAATTCATCTAAGTCAGCCAACTCACTATTTAAGAGTAATTTTAAAGGATAATGGCACATTACTTAAGGAAATTGATTACAATTTTAGAGAGTTATGTTTTATTCATATGTGAGAGGTGGGTTTTGCTATATTAGCCCAACATGGCTTTAAATTCATGAAATCAAGTGCTCTCCAGCTTCAGCCTTGTAAGCTGTTCATGTGGTGTTTAGCCAGCTAAGGGTGGTTGACACCCGCTCCATCAGTCTGTCTCTGACCCCAACTGTGTTAGTTATTGACTGGTAACTATTAGTCACTTTGCCAGCGACCATCTGATTTTGCAGATGTCTCCAGTGCTATTAATTAAACTAAGCTTTTGTTCTCACAATTACATGACCAGCTTGTAGTTTTACTGGGGCAGACAATTAACTATTACAGCCATCAAGATATAGCTGCAGTCTTTCTTGGTTAATCTCATGTTTAGTTGCTTGTCCCTGGGGTAGTCTGAGGTCTCTTGGGTGGAACTTTTCATTGGAAGTAATGCTTATAATTTAACCGTATTTCAAGCAAGAACATAAGAGAAACTGATAGTGGTTTCCATGTCTCTTCAGGGTTTGGGGATATCTTAGTTTGGTTTATATTGCTGAGGATAAAGACCAGGACCAAAAGCAACTTGGGAAGGAAAGGGTTTATTTGAGCTTACCTATCCTGAGTCATGGTCTATTTAGAGAATCCAAGACAGGAGTCCAAGGTATGAACCTTAAGGTAGGTGAAACAAAAGCCTGCTTTCTGACTTGCTCTCTGATGGCCTGCTTAGACTGCTTTCTTACACTACCCAGGACCATCAGCCCAGAGGCAACCCTACCCCACCCAACTGGCTGTGCCCTCCCAAATCAGTTATTAATCAATAAAATGAGCCACGGGTTTGCATACAGGCCAGTCTGATGGAGACATTTTCTCAACTGTGGTTTCCTCTTCTCAAATGACTGGAACGTGTGTTAACATGAAACTAGCCAGGACAGGGTAAGGGGGGAGGGGACACTGGTCTACTTTCACTGGCCCAGAACCCCTTGTCCCTTTTATCTGTCTAGTCTGGCTAATTCACAGCCAACTCTTACTAATCTTCTACAGTGTTTCAGATCTTGCCGTGTTAATCTTCAATCTTCCTTCTAACCCAAGCCTCTGTTCTCACTATACCAAGTGCAAGCAAGTTGTAGTTTTCATGGTGGGACCTTATCATTTAATCATTTCCTACTATCATTTACTGACTGATACAGGAGCTCCTGCATTAAGGTCATTAGTCCAAACCATAAGATTCTTTTAAAAGATGTGCTTAAAAATGCCACAGATTTGGGGTAAATTATAAATTAGCCAAATGTAAAGCAAAGTACTCCAAGAAGAAATCAACACCTGATTCAAAAATAAACCATAGAAGTGTGTGTGTATATAATTCTAGAGACTAGATAACTCTAAGTCAAATGAGCAGAAACACAGACACAGGTATTTACGTTCAGGGACAGTTGTCTAGAAGCAGTGTCTAGTTTCACGAGCCTATTTTATTCCATGCATTCTACACCATCTATAAGGGATGATGGACATTTTAAGTTAAGGCTGTTGTAGAAAAGACACTGAAAACATCATAACTGTCGCATAACCAATTGGTTGTATACTAAATTTGAGGTCTTCTTTTAATGAAATTAAAAAAAAGTATGTTACACATTTCTCGGGGCACTGAAATGTTATAATTCTACCTAATCCACATCACAAGGAGAAGTAGGCATACTACTCGTTTGTTTTGTTTTGTTTTGAGAGCACACAGTTTAAAACAAGTTGTATTGATTTTGTACACTCATCAGGTATTTTCTCTGATGTCAGGCAGGTCCAGCAGCAACCACTGAGGCTATACTAGTGAAAGTACACTAGTGTAATCCATGAGCTGGTGAAGACAAAGTTAAATAATTGCCATAAAGCACAGCAAACAGAGGGAGAGAGCAGCTAATAGCACCAAGTATGACAACTAGGGAGCTTGTGCAGGAGTGGAGGTTTGGGCTGGTAAGGAAACTTTCTATGAACAAAGTGGTGGCTATAGAGAGATAGGGGTGGGCAGGTCACACACAGGTTTTCCTAGGTGCAAGGTACTACAGTACGGGTGGTGGAGGAGGAAGCCCAGAAGATCTTCCCAGCTTTGAGTGGCAGAAGTGCACAGATGGAGAAACCAGAGAAAGCAGACAGGCAATCAAGCAAACAAACAGGCTCTGAGCTTGGTTCCACGCTTCCATTTCTGAGGCCCGGCAGGATCTCCATCTTTTTGAGATGTGATTTCTGATTCAGTTACCATTCTTCCCACACAGCATTCTTAGCCCTTCTTTCTATCTTTAGTCTTTTGAGATAGAATTTTACTGTACTATAGGCTAGCCTGGGACTCCTAGGATTAAGCCTTTCTCCCCTCAGAGCTCTTGAGGTGACTTGGATTGATTACAGGTGTTTAGCATTTGTCCCTGCCCAGCCTCATTGTGGGTGGATCAGATGTCAGAACATTCTGGTGTTTTTCAGGCCAGGTTATGGTTCAAAACCACTGTTTGATATATCAAGTGTTGTTTCATGGTCCTGAAACATAAAGATCACTTTCCATCTTCCAGCAGCATGCACTTTGTCCTTTTGTACATTACCCACCAGCGTTCGCTTACGGGCAACGTTACCAGCCCCAGAAATTTTTAGAAATGTCAGTCATATCTTAAATGATTTTCTGTGGTCCAGAACTCACCATTTCTTGTTTTCACTCGCTTTTCAGATCATTAACTCTTCGTAGTTGGAACAGTTCAGTACAAGATTCCTCTGTAGTCATTCCAAGTGGATGGTTATTTAAAAAAAAATAACTTTATTTATACCACGTGTACTTGAAAGTGTCATTAGGCCCTTAACATGCCTCTCCAGCAGCACTCTGTTTTCGTTGGAAATTAGGTGAACAGTAGTTAACGCCAACTCAGTGAGTCACAAGGCCTGCTAATTAGAGCTGGAGGCAGTCTTTTTGGTTCCCCTCCCAGTCTTCTTACAAAGTCTACCCTCTGAGTTTAGGGAGAGAGGAAAAGAGATGATTTTGTCCTCCCTTAACACAGCGCACTGGCAAAAAGAGTGCTATTGTTTTCAATTTTCTAATTCTTCTTTTGTCATTTTGTTACACACAGAGGTGCAACGGTAGGGTATATGGCAGTCAGCAAATTGCAGGGATCTCAAAACCAGATTCCATAGCCCAGCGCTTGTGTTCAGTCCCTGAATTCATTCTATTGTTTCATAGTAAAATATGACAATGTATATTTCTTTGAAAATTACTATTTTTTTCTCTATTGACTTAACCTCCTCTCTTTGCTCGGTAAACAAAGAGGAAATATTTGAAAGAGCAGATAGTCTTTCAGGGGACAGCTGGTGTTTTAGTTTTTGCCTGAACCCCTGGGAGATGGAAAGCCGAGGTCGGTAAGACCCTATTGTTCAATGAACGGGCCAGATTTCATACATAAACTTAGGTTTATCTTTTAATTACTTTTTTACCCCTAAAATAAACCAGGAAGATCTTCGATATTGAAGAAAACCAAAAATCTTAAAATTTGGTTACAACTTCAGAAGAGTGGTGTGCTCCTTCAACAATAAGTAACAGAAATGGCATTTTCCTAGAGTTATTTTTAAAAAGAAGTACATATCCACCCAG